CTGCAGCACTATTTAGAATCACAAGGATATAGAAACAACGTAAGTGCACATCAGTGGATGAGTGAATAAAAAGATGAGAGGTAGATAAGTAAGTAAGTAGGTAGGTAGGTAGACCACATGTGTGTGAGCAATCATGTAAAGATGATACATTTATTTTTATAAACAATATAAATATTTATTATATGAAGAATGGAATGTTTAACTTGCAAGAAAACATAGAGACCTTAAAGGCATATTTCACTAAGTGAATAAGTCAAGCAGAGAAAGACAGCAAATTTATTTGGGGTATCTAAAAAAACAAAACAAAAACCAACCTCACAGAACAAATTGGAGATTGCCAGATGGGAGAGAGGTGGAGGGTGGTGAAACAGGTGAAGGGAATGAAAAGGAACACATTTCCAGCTATTAAGAAAAGTTATGGAGACTTAATATAGAGCATAGTAGATATAGTTACTAATATTGTGTTGTACATCTGAAAGATGCTATGACAGTAAAATTTAAAAGTCCCTCTCAAAAGAAAAAATATATAGAACTATATTCGAGATCTATAGTAACTAGACTTACTGTGTTGACTATTTCTCAATATATACAAATATGGAATCATTATATTGTATACCTGAAACTAACATATTACATTATATATGCCACCATATTTTTTAAAAGAAAATAATGCATGGGCATGATAATATCAGAATAAAGATAGTAATTATGTTGGTAGAGGAGGAAAAAATGTGTTCAGGATGTAAAAAAAAAAAAAATGTGTTCAGGAAGTATTAAAAGTGAAATTTTATTTTTATCTATAATGTTTCAGTTAAAAAAATCTCTCTCTCTCTCTCTCTCTCTCTCTCTCTCTCTCTCTATATATATATATATATATATATATGGTGAGATATATCTTGTGGGCAATATATATTCTTTACTTTTCCTATTTGCTTTAAATATAATTTTTAAAAGGAAGTTAGCAACTTTCTTTTAAATATTTAAGTATAGTGATCACTTGCTTTGGAGAGGAGAAGGCAGATTAAAATGAGAATGCTCCCAATCACATTTCAAACATAGTTTGGCACTTAGATAACATCATTTAGGCTTGGAAAGGTGAGAGACTTCCCCCAAGCTAGTGGACTGAGACAAAGTAGCTGAGTCCCTTATGCATGGAAGAGAAAAGGAAAAATTACTTTTTCCTGCCTTTTCTTATTCCTACTCCCCTCTTGCTCTTGCCACCGTTACCCCAGTTTTCTTTCCTTCCACATTTTCATCCTTATTCTCTAGAGTATCATAAAAAGCTGCCTATCTTACAGTCGAGATGTTGCTAGTCACATGGCTGTCTCTGCCATTCTTAATAGAAGACATCCTCCAAATATTGGGGAACCTCTATATATTAAAAGAAGATAAAATTCTGCATTATCTACTATTAATTATAAAATAGGAATTTTCTGGGCCCCCCCTGGTGGCACAGCAGGTTAAAGCACAGCACTAAGAACCTAAAGCCACTTCAGCATGAGTTTGATCCTCACCCCGGAGGTGACCACATGGCACGGCAGACCTCTCCTGACCCAGCAGACCTCTCCTGACATGCCTGCTGCTCCCTCAGCAGTGTACTTTGTCAGAAGGCCTGTTCTGCTCCCCATTCTGTCACTGGTGAAGCCTCTCACCTCTCCTGCACCTCTGGCTGTACCCCAGTTCTGTATGTATAAATTAAAAAATCTTAAAAAAAAAGAAAGAAAGGAAAAAATAGGAATTTTCCTCTAGTTTGATGCATTCAACAAAAGAAATTCAAGTACTTAGCCAAAAAATTATTACTGAACTTTAAACAAAGAAGATAACTGTATTAATGTTTATCAGCTTGTATTATTCATTTAGATAGTTAAATTATGTTTAATAAAATGGTGTTTACTCCTACATATACTTCTATATTTTCACTATTAATAGTAATATAGTGATAGTTTCCTATAATAAATTCTATCATTGGACTGCTATGAATAAAATTCACCATGTAAACACAGAATGCTGCTTATGGTGTGTGTTCAGAAATCTTGCTTAACTAGATGTAAAATAAGACTGAAATTTCAGTATTAAATTTTCTAAGGCATTATATACTTAATTTTAAAACTCCCTCACTTTGAATTGTGTTTTTTTTAAGGATTTATTTATTTATGCATACAGAATTGGGGTACAGGCCAGAGATGCAGGGGCCGTGAGAGGATTCACTAGAGACACAGTGCGGAGCAGAACTGGAAGATTGTCCAAGTACACTGCTGAGGGGAGCAGGGGGCGGGCCAGGAGAGGTCTGCCTCGCCATGTGGGATCACCTCAGAAGCAGGCAGGGATTGAACTCATGCAGAAGTGGCTTCAGCCTCTCAGTGCTGTTCTCTAACCCACTGCACCACCAGGGAGGGCCCTGAATTGTGTTTTTAACATGTCAAAAACTCATGCAATCTAAATGGGTATAAAATGAAAGGTAATTTTCCCCCATCTCTCCCTCCCCATAGTTACAAGCTTCCTAGGGTACCTCTCCAAGATATTTACACATAGGCAATCATGCATCAAAAGAATGTTTGAAGAAGTCGACTAAATAAAAATGGTTTTTCAAAATGTCCATACTCTTAATATAGCAAATCCAATGCTTTTCTATTTAAGACCAAATATATAGGTGGACTTGGAGTCAGACACCATATAAAACCCAATCACATTAGTAGGTTTTCAAAGATGCCACAATAAAGATAATAGAGATACTGTATTGCCCCCTTAAAATTTTTAAGGAAGTCAGAAAAGACTAGGGTACTCATGCAGTAAGTACCAGGACTATGTGTAGTTGGTACTAGACTCAAAACAACTAAGTGACTATATAACTAACCTTAGTTACAAAGTAAGTCTATCAATACATTTAGGTCTCTTGGTCCAAAATTGAAATAAAACTGAAATCTGAATATACAAAGAACATCAAGTGCTTGCTTTCTTAATAAACCTAAAATATAGCCAGATCGGAACTACTGATATTTTGCCAGTTTTTGTTATCAATAATAAAAAATTTTAGATAAAAATCTCAATAGAGAGTATGTAACATCAAAAAATGTAGCTCTTTAGCTTATTACATTTTAACCTAAGGAATTTGGTATTTCTCAGAAATAGAAGTAATTTCTTTCTAAATATGTTTTTGAAGTCAATTTGTAAGGAAAATATTTGTTTTTAGGTGCTTCTAACATATAGGAGTGATCCAACCATGAGGAAAATGTTCAATCATCTGTATTTCTATGTCATGCCTGTTTTTAACGTTGATGGATACCATTTTAGCTGGACCAATGTAAGTCATTTTGTCTGTTGTATAATCAGAAACAACCACAGGTCAGGAGGGCCAGTCTAGAGAATCAGTGAACAGCCAGTCTAGAGAATTCAGAGCTACAAGAGAGACCTCACTCTAACCCAAATCATAGGAACTTCTGGATTTTGTTTGCATGTTTGAATTTTCATAGCATTTCACATAAAGATTTCTCCCTCCAAATAAAATATGGAAAAATACTAGTCAAGCTTAGGTCATTCAATTTTGCCTGTGAAGAAATGAAGCCAAGATAAGGTAAGAGACAAATATGTAGCAGAAATTGGAGAGTGAAGCTGGGTCTCTTTTCTGAGTGTGAACTTCAGTTCTCTTGGATGTATTTCTAAAGGAATTCCTCTCATCAGTGTGTGATTTATGCACTGATGGGAATACTAAAATCCATGCGAATTACCTTTCATGTATTTTTTTCTGCATCCATATACTTAATGACACATAGGATCGATTTTGGAGAAAAACAAGATCAAAGAACTCAAGATCTCGCTGCCGGGGTGTTGATGCCAATCGTAACTGGAAAGTGAAATGGTGTGGTAAGTTGGGGATTAATTCACTTGAATTCAGACTGCAAGCATTTACTCTGAAAAATGATAAACCTAGTAGAACTCCAATGGAAGACGGATATTTTTCTATGTGGGCAAATCTAATAAGAGAACCTCAGATATGCACAAAGCAGCTATAATTTGCAAAGGAAAGAAGAATTATAAGGTATTAAACCTTCCAATCCAATTCTGAAAACTGAAAGTTTATACACAGCTATAAAAGCAGATATGTTTTCTTATTCATATTTGCTATTCATAAAATTAAAACAAGAACTGTGGCTTGTGGCATAAATCTGCTTAAGTGACTTAATTTTTTTTGTTTTAAGGACTTATATTTTATGTACACGCCAAGGTCTTCTATTTTGACTTGTATCATAAACATTTTGCTTTATGAATGTCATGGCATAGACTTTTATTGTCCTTATTCATACCAATTTCTTAATGAGGAACACCTAGAAATAATTGTACTTCATCAAATTCATATTACTTTAAAAAGTCTTTATACATAACAAACTGTTTCCTGAAAATATTAATTTACACTTCTAATCAGGCAGTATATCTAATTAGAGTATAGGATTACTATGTTTTCACCATTTATTTTCTTGACAACATGACAAGTAAAAACTAGAATACTATTTAATAGGAATTTTCTTCACTGATTCTGAGATTAAATGTCTTTTTTCACTGACTACTCTTATTTCTTCTGACTTTTACTAAAACTTATTTAACTGATACCCCTCTTCTGTCCTTTCACTAATGGATAATAATAAACTCTCCACTGGATGGTGGTGTTCTTTACAAAAGTTGTACTTATTTTTTACTAAGTTTATTGAGGTAACATTATTTTACAACAATTCTGTTTAGGGGTATAAGTTCATACCTTTATAAATGAATGTTAGCACATTATACCTACTACCAAAGCCCAATAACTTTCTGCCACATTCCACTGTGCCCTCTCCCTGATGTGCCCTCCATTGCTAACTTCTGGTAAGTTCAGTTCTAACATAGGATTGCAAGTGTTCTTTTAGTTTGATTTTGTCCATACTTCTTTATATTTCACATGAGTGAAATTATATGGTATTTGTCTTTCTCTTTCTAACTTATTTCAATTGGCATAATCCCCTCCAGTTCTGTCCATGTTGTTATAAATGACATTTCATCATATTTTACATATAAATAGTATTCCTTTTTTGTGAAAGTCTTCTGATAGTTTGATTAATACTGTTATATAGGAATTGCCCCCAGTATTTTGTCTTTATCCATTGACTGAATTTCTTTGTCTCCACATTTTGTTTCATGGTCTGCAATTACTTCCATGGATTGTTAGGCTTGTTTTCCACTTCTGGAATGGTCTTACATGAGAATTATAAATAGGTCCAAAGTTATTGGTTTAGGATGTTGATCTTAGAAACTGTGCTTTCTGTTGTTGTATTGTCAAGATCCATCACCAACCAGTATGATTAGATCTCAATAGCCAGCATAGGGTGATATTCCAAGAACCAACATACAGGATCTGGCCTGGAAATGTTGGTATTGTAGTGGTTACTGCAGTAGAGACCTAAGGGCAGAAACCTCCCTAAAGTGCTGCAGCAACTTGAGCTGAAAGAGATATCTACAAGTCACCATCTGATGAAGACAGATGAAGGAATCTCCCCCCCCCCTTAACCCCCCCCCTCTTGGGACATTCCCTGAAGTCCTAAATTGCAACTGACCTTTCGGTTGGAAACTAGTTTGATGTGCCTTTCCCCTGAGGCTCTAGCACAAGCAGAGTAGCCAGAGGCTCTATGTGCTTTGGCCACAGGCAAGTAGCACTAGAAGTTGCAGCAGTTCGGCTGCCAGATAACAGGCCCAGCCACAATCAAGGCTAGTTCTTGAAACAACTAAACTAGGTACCAAGCAGTCCCAGTGCCCTGGGTTCACTGCCTGCCCAGCAAACTGTGCTATCTGAGAAGGTATGTACTCACTCCGTGATAGTAGCTAGGAACATCTGAAGTCTCAGGAATCTAGAGAATAGAAGAAAGGATACATCTCGGGACCACCAACCTAGCTGCCAGCAGCCTCAGATGCATCAGCACTCTGCTCTCCTCCTAGTAGTCAATGTTCTTTCATGCAGCTGGCACTCACCCAAATGCAATGGGTAGGAGCCCAGGGAAGAGCCAGGAGCTGAGGCAGGGGAGAAGAGGGTGTTTAGGACTGCAAGGTAGTTACCCTCAACTCCCAGTGAGTCAACCACCTTCCCAGCACTCAGTATTCTTCCAGAGAAAGAACATTATATGTGAGAAACCTCAATGAGAGAGTAGCCAAAGTGGTTAGAACTCTGGCTTGTGTAGCTTCTTCAGTGAAGAGCAGTGAGTTTAGAAGAAATGACTGGACAAACAAAAGCACTTTTAGGTTTTAAAGGGCCACAAGCTGTAGGAAGGTAAATATATGAGGGAGGAAATAATGGGTAGGTTTTATTTACAGATTCCTCTGGTACCGTATCTGGGCTGTGAAAAATTTGGCTGCAGTGAAAAAAGAATTTATAGCCTGTAGTTAAGCAAAAGGGGATAGAGTTTTTCCCTGAATTATCTGCTTAATTGCCTTCAGTTAAAAAAAAAATTGTATCAAAGAGGCGATTTAGGAGTGGCATATTCTGGTTTCCTTCATTGGTATTACACTTGGCAGCAGAAGAGAGAGAAAGAAGTATTATAAAAATGCAGTTTTGTTCTCTCCCTGGTGTCGCAATGGGTTAATTCATGCTGAAGTGGCTTTAGCTTCTTAGTGTTGTGCTTTAACCCACTGCACCACCAGGAAAGGCACTGGTTTTTCTGTTTTAAGTCATTCTGATTCTTTCTGTGAGTCAACACTCAAGATGTACAGGGGGTTATGTCAAATGTCAGTAGTAAAATGACCTCGATAGAATGTTGGAAGGGATGCTGAGATTCTGACAGCCTGGCTGGGACCATCTCTCTCCCCACAAGGTCTCCTGAGTAGATTTAGTTCATCCAGCAACCTCAGATTCATTCCTCCACAGCTATGAGCTTAATCCAGGGAACAGTAAACCTCACTGAGGGAACTACTCTTATGTGTGTGAAGGACACAGTGCACAGTGATCTAAGTGAAATGCCAAAGTGAACCTTCAAATAAACATCCACAATAGAAATGTCAAAGACAAGCACTGTGGAGCCAGCACTGAATTGACACACACACACACACACACAAAAATGTTTCTCTAAGTCTGAAGTGTTCATCTCAAATGTAAATAGCAGAACATAAAACTGCTTTTTACCATGAAAATTCTATGGACTCCCTTATGGCAGTGTTATGCTTTAATGCATCCAAAGCAGGATAGACAGTTTTGGGTACACACATTAAAACATTCACCTTTCCAACATGTCGTAACTCCCTTCAGGTGGACTCCAGATAGTGAAATGAGTATCATTGCTCTCAAAGTACAGTAGAGGGACTTGACGAGTCTGACTAGTAAAGAAACCAAGAATATGTAATTCATTAGTTCCCTAAATTTAAGTAAGCACATACTTTCTTCCAGGCACTGTGTTTGTTTGTTTTTTACCCCCTTCCTCTATGTATTCTTTTAAGACACTACAGTGAGCACTAGCTTTTCCAATTTGGAATAATTCCAGTGAAGAGGCAAAGGGGTTGGATGATACCAGTACTTAAGCTTTAATCCCTGAATAACTCATGTTGCATAAGTATAAATTACTCCCAACAGAATGAGAGATTTTTTCAAATTATATATTGATTAGGTACTTATATGCAAAATACTAAAAGAACCCCTACAACTCAATAAGAAGACAAATAATTCAATTTTAAACTACAACATAATTTCTCCAAAGAAGATTTACAAATGGGAATAAGCACATGAAAAATGGCCAAAGGTAACACTTTCTATGCACTAAAACATAATTTGTATGAAAGACACTAACAAGAGAAGTTATAGGAATATTGAAACACACATACCTGCAAGTGAGAATGTAAAATGATACAGCTACTTTGAAAAAGTGATAATTCCTCAGAACATTATAGATAAATTTACCATATAACCCAACAATTCCATATCCAAGATAAATTAAAACAATTCCATACAGTGATCTGTATATGAATGGCCTTAACATTGTTTATAATAGCTAGAAAATGGCAACAACCTGAACATCTACAACTGAAGAAAAAAATGAACAAAATGCAGTGTATCCATACAATGGACTATTAGTTGCCCATAAAAAATAATGAAGTACTGATACATGGCTGCCATATGAATGAACCTTGAAAACTTAACACTAAGTGAAATAAACCTGTCACAAAATATTATCAAATGCGTATGATTCCCATTTATATAAAATGTCTAAAATTGGCAATCCATACAGAGAATAGATTACTATAGGCCAAGGGTTAAGGAGAAGAGGCAGTAGAAAATGAATACCAATGAGTAAAGGGTTTCTTTGAGGGATAATGAAATGTTCTGGAATTAGAAAGTGGTGATGTTTGTGAATATACAAAAATCCACTGAATTTTACACTTCAAAACAATGAATTTTTATGGTGGGTGAATTAGAGCTGAATAAAACTGTTATAAAAAATTTAATCAATGATGCCTTTGTGGATTCCTCTGCAGTAGCAAGGAAACAAGAAAAGCAACAGGACTATATCAAATGAAAGTTTACACACAGCACACAGTCTTCATCAAAATAAAAAGGCAACCAGAAACTACTGAATGGGAAAAGATATTGGTGAACTATTTATCAGATAAAGGGTTAACATCCAAAATATATACACAACTCATACAACAAAATCTGATTTTAAAATGGGCAGAGAATCTAAATAGGCATTTTCCCAAAGAAGACATCCAGCCCAATGAAAAAATATTCATTGCTTATCATTAGGAAAATACAAATCAAAAACCACAATGAAATTTCACCTCACATCCACTAGAATGAAAATTATTAAAAAAAAAAAAAAAAGGAAACAGTAAGTGTCAGGGAAGATGCAGAAAAA